CAATACGAGTACAGAAACTCGCGGAAGATTGGTGGCATAAAAATAGATCGGACAGGTATGAAGATCTGGACTTACTGATGCGAAGAAAACGCCCTCCGGAGCTAGCTTTACCTCGATGGGCATATCACCGCCTCATTGCGGCAAGGACTGGGCATGGTGATTTCGCTAGCTATCACAGACGATTTCAACATCCGAATGAAGAAATGCGATGCAAATGCGGACGAGATAAACGGCCATGGCATTTTGCAGAGTGTCGCCCGACCATCCAGAAATGGAGGACGGAAACGAAGGAACCACGACCTACGACAAGGGATATGATAGGGCAAGAAGGATGGCAGATATTCTGGCGCTTTCTAATTGTAACAAAATGTTACAGCAAAATTGAATCATAAACAGGGAACTTGAATGTCAGCTGTATTGCTTCTTAGGGCCGCTCAGTGTGGCACGAGGATGGAGGTGTAGTGCAGGGCGCTAGCACCTCAGAAATGGTGTTTCCTTTTTTTTATTTGTTTTGTTTCTGTATTTCTGGTTCCTATGAACCAATCATGTAGGTAGCGAAGAGTCTTATATAGATCTGGACTACCCGTGCCATGCCCCCTGGGCGCTGGGTCAGTAACCGGTCACGATAAAAATATCATTATCATTATCATTTGATATTGTGTCGCCGGCAAAGTCGAATTCTTCACCTTCCAGTGGTGCCGGTGTAACCGCTCAGTATGCTCTGCATATCTGGAATAGCCAAGAAGAATCGCATCCTTCGCAACGGCAGCTTGCTGAACGTGGCCCAGTCGATTTCGATTGACACATGGGCTAGGTTCCGTTCCCGGCACGATAGATCAAAAGTTTAAGTTTGGGTCTCTTCTATTCAGTCTTCTAACAACTTCCTGATTGAGTTTGACTGGGAGGACTTTACGACTCACCAACAACTCTCCAAAATCAAAAGTAAAATTCCTTTCGCTTTCAACCTTACTAACATTGTGTGCAGGACTGGGCAATTGCTCGGCCTCATTTTAGACAAGCACCTCGACCGCGACATCAAAATTCTCAACTTTTCGACACATTCCAAAGACGGCCCGAACGAAGAAGCCTCACTCAGACAACGAACAATGTACGACAAAAGCTGGGGCACCGATGTCTCGGTTTAAAGCTCTCGATTTCGGAATTTCAGCCCTCTCAAATGGGGGTTGAGCGCAATGCAGGGGAGAATTTGGGAAGAACGATATGCGATTTTCAACAGGCTGTTGGCACAGTTGGTCGGGTTCTGGATGTGCCTTCTAGAAGTGGTAGGTTGGATTCCTATACGGCCTGTTTAAGGGGGGACTACGGCTACTCGTCGTGAAGTACAGGAGGAATTATTGAGGTTTTCCAACGAAGGTTTTCCCTCAATACATGGTCTTAGGATCATGGTGAATGCGTTCCTACCTATTCGACCCGATGTAACTTGCGTGAGGCACGTATTTGGAAAAGTCAGGCACCGGATGGGCTTTGCTGGAGAATGGAGGAACTTGTATTCTAGATGTCCTCCATGTGTGTCATGTCCATTGGATGGAGGGTGTAAGCCTGGCACGATAAATATAATCATCATCATCATCATTTGATATTGTGTCATAGCTAGATAGCCGCATACGCAATTAAAATCTGATGCAAAAAAAAAGTTTCCTCCCGTGAAAATATTCCAGTTCATTCACACCTGCATGGGCCAATGCGGCACCAAACTAGGATATCGAAATAAGATTAAAAAATAAGTAGGAAGCTATGTACGGTTTGATCGGCTGAAACCCTCGTTCCCAGCTCGCCAATGCGCATTATTTCCGAACTCCATCACCACGCTCTTAAGCCTTTAAAGTCCTTCCTATGTTATATTATTGACTTACAATTAGCCTCAGCATATTCTCATCTCGTAAATAGACTGATTTCCTCATTGCAGGTCAGAGCATGGACCATATCTTCACAGTTTACGGGATTTTAAGAAAGTTGGAAAGACTTTCATTCCACTCTGGATAAGAAGAGCTTTTCCCTTCATGAGAAAAGTTGATGGAGAGGAATTTTACCAAGTCTAGAATTATAAAGAAGAGTCAATGCAATTTGTTGCGTAAGCTGCTTGTGAGTGTGCTCTTGTTTGGATTAGGTGGTAGTTGGCAATTCCTAACCTAATTGTGTTAGATTGCAGGCTTCTGTCTTAGGTATTCATGGGTTCGTAATTAAGGTTATTGTTGAGGTTTAGCTTCGGTTATCTCACTGATTACCGAGCCGGCAGCATATCAAGGAGGCATGTAGCTCAGGTGGAAGTACCGCACGGTAAACTATATCTGAAGCTGCAACGTATTGTAGTAGCTAAAAGAATACTGCTATTCGGAAACTACAGCTCCATCTCAGAACCATAAGATAAACCAGGCTATGCACGCTAGATATAGAATGGCTAGCGGATATGGTGAATGTGGGGGTAAATACGTAGATTTATAAAGACATTGTAGCCTCTAAATTGTAGGACAAGTCTTCAACCAAATTATATCGGAATAAATCCTAGCCTCTCGTTAAGCAATCTCATGAATCTATCTCCGTGTCTGTGATAACAGACCAATATATAAAGTCGACGATCAAGTTCAAAGTGTTATAATTACGAGGTTAGATGGATAAGTATTGTGGGAGGATAGTATATATATAAAGAAGAATGTGGAATGAATATTCTGGTGGTGAGCGAATGTATTTAGACTATCTGAGGATAATATGGATATATGAAGATGAACGCATAATCTACCTAAGAAGTAAATGGACCTGATAATATACATGTCCAAAGTTATAAGTGATGCTTTCTGTTGTGATGTGATTATTGCATTTACTCTAAATTTATCTCTGCCAAGTGCCCGGGATACAACACATCTATGCGAGTACTGCACAGCCCTACATGGCTATCATCACGATCGACTATTGAGGCGCAGCTCTATAGAATGGCATATAGTAATGTGGGATAGTATTGCATGGAATTAAGATTGTAGTACTTCATGCATAGACGGTGATGTACTGTAAAGCGGGTACCAAATATGTGTATATAAGTCCTATCTACTACTGTGATATGTAGAACAATATAACCAAGCTATTCATCATATTGTCAAGCTCTGATAATCGTTATCAACCCTCTGCACTATCCCTAGAATATTGAACATCTCATACCTACCCATACCTTAATCACAATACTTTCCCGCTATGAAAAAGTACATTACCTACAGTATAATGAGTTTAACTCTTTTTGTAATTTTAAAATCACTTAATGTGTATTTAGCTATTTATCTATGACACATGACACATGACCGGAGTTGTATATACATGTAGGATAACTCTTTTGACGTTCACAGGCCACGGCGACTTCGCAGATTATCATCGTCGAATCCGTCACGAAGACGCCTTACTGACATGTTCCTGTGGAGAAGATAAGTCTCCAGATCACTTTTTTTTCTGCCATCTCAGTAGGCACCGGACCCGACTCGGTGGACTCCGATTCCCTCCCATAGGTATCGCTTAGATTCTAGGCCCGAATAATGGCGCACTTGCCGTCGGAAAGCAGGTGAAAAGAACTCTATTTTTCGAAGAGATTCAATAACGCCACTAAACAACACACCTGTAACTGTAACTGCTGAGATATCCTACAACAGCCTCCTCCCACTTTGAGCTATACTATCTCATTCTATAAGGACTTTCTCCCTCGTAAACTATGTAGATATATATTCTCTACTAGATATGCTTAAAGTGACTCAATGGAAGAGCTCGCTTCTCTGTAACGTAATTGTAAATTAATGCGCTAGATAGCATTTTCTAGGATTCACATAAAATGCTGGACTCTCGAGAGCACCAGCACATCGGGTAGCTTTTTCGTAGGCTGAGCCAACCGGCACGTGACAACTAAAAGCACAAGCTGCGCGCAGTGCATATGTTAGGCAATATAAAAAAACTCTTTTGACGCTGGAGACATTCATACTCTGGATTTCATTCGCAAATACCACAATGAGGTATGTTCGCTTACACAAACAGTCGACCCTCCTCCGTTAGTACCCACCAAATAGAAGTTCAAAACCTTTGATTATTCAAGCGTGCTTTAGTCGTTCTTGTAAACAAGCGCCGCGAGAAAAGTGGTTGTGTTTTGCCGGATTTGAACCAGCGGTCACTGAGATTAGATCGAACTGCACACCGAAGCGCTTTTCATTTATTGATCTACTCCAAGCTTTCTGCTTGTTTATTATTTTACGTCATGCCAGCGCGCAACATGTTTCCCAAGGTCACCTGCCGGTTAGCTCAGTCTATAAAACAACCTGAAAAACCAGGCTTGCAACCGTTATGCAAAGAATTTAGGGCAGTTTGTTTGATACACGTGACCTCGCTTATCCAACACAATTAGTCGCCTATAAAAAAATCCCACACACCGCGTCGGGAATAGCAGCAAACTCTTCGACACTGGGTACATACTCCGCCAAACGCCAAAATGTCCACAACGAATACGTATGGTATCCCTGAATCCCCTCAAGCCAAACTGGCTGCGCAAGATTTGATCTAGTTGTTGTCCCTTCGCTGAGCCCTATGTAATTAGCATCAATCTTGAAGCTCCTAATACATAGAGGCATACAGCTCGATTCATCCCGTTGATCTCCTTGCTCCACTTAGGCTTTAAAACCTAAAGCGACAAAGATCTCAATAGGGTTTTGAGGATGAAAATTTTCTCCTTTAAAGTCATTGCTGTGAGGCCCTGCCATCTTGTCTTTCCCAAATGAGACTTGTCTGCATAGCTTGTTCAAGCAAATTTCTCGAAATAATTCGAGGTATTGTCGCTTGAGATTGATAAACATCTTTAGATCTTTAAATGAAAAACGAAGACTATCATGTTGTCACTCATCGATTAAATTTATAAATTCGAGCCGATCCTTAGTGAGAATGCAGTGCCAAAGATGCAATTCCATTGAGGCACACTCCATGCATCTGATTATTCGAATGTATGGTGTGTTGGACAACATACTAACTTGAACAGATCTGTCCCAACTGTGGATCAAATCCTCGTACCAGAGACACTTCTCAAGAAGCGTAAGAGTCAAGAGAAGGCTAGGGAGGAACGTGCCGCTGAGATCGAGACCAAAAAGAAGGTAAGAGCTACATCACATCATATACTAAAAATTTACATGATGCATAAAACCATATTGCGACTAGACACAATAGTGTTGATGTTGTTGCAAATTAACCATCTTTCGGGTCTGATACTAAAAAAAAAATTATCCTACGTCATGTCCAGGAATTAATAGCTAATGCTTTTCAGGCACAAAAAGAAAAGCGAGGCGTTATATTCAAGCGTGCAGAGAAATATGTAAAAGAATATCGGGATATGGAGCGGGAAAAGATCAGACTATCCCGGCTCTCGAAACAAGATGGAACTTACTTCATCCCTGCTGAGGAGAAACTCGTCTTTGTAGTGCGCATAAAAGGGTAAGTCTTAAAAATATACAGAATCATCTTGATCTAATTTTTAATAGTATTAACAAAATTGCTCCTAAGCCACGGAAGATTCTCCAACTTCTACGTCTCCTCCAAATAAACAACGGCGTATTCGTACGAATGACTAAAGCTACTCTCGAAATGTTAAAAGTTGTCGAACCATGGATAGCCTACGGATATCCAAACCTTAAGACCATTAGAGAGCTAATATACAAGCGCGGATACGGAAAAGTTGACAAGCAGCGCATTGCTCTCACTGACAATTCTATCATCGAAGAGAACCTTGGGAAATTTGGGATTGTGTGTATGGAAGATTTGATCCACGAAATTTTCACCGTGGGTCCGAACTTCAAGAGCGCATCCAACTTTTTGTGGCCCTTCAAGCTATCAAATCCTACTGGTGGCTTCAGATCGAGAAAGTTCCGACACTTTGTGGAAGGAGGAGATCTAGGAAACAGAGAAGAACACATAAATGCTTTAATACGACAGATGAATTAAATGTGGCAAGGTCCGTGCAACGTAGATGTTCTATTAACCCATGTCCATAACGTACTTTGTGGTCATGAAAGTCTGTAGTTAGCCCGCAATTAATTGCCGTTTTCAGCCGTTCATAGAAAGCAATTGAAATCTGCCTCCAGAATAATGATCGATTCTTATCTCTGAAGTGGAACAATTCTTGGTTATTTTATCATCTACAAATAAAAGCAAGATTTCCCACTGGTACAATTTTTAATGTCCTACAGCCGACACGACAGTGCATCGTCCGACATTTGGGGATATGTAGACCACACTTATTGCAGCACCTTAAGCCTAATTCTCGTTTCTTCTATCCTTAATCATCCAATATCAAAACTCGTACCACATCCGCAACTACTAGTAGCCAGCGGGTTGTCAATGATTTTGAATTGGCTCCCTATCAACTCCGTAGTGTAGTCAACCTTGCTCCCTGCTAGTATTTCTAAACTTGGTCCATCCAAGATAATTTTAGCATTGGAATCATCGGGAGCAATAAATATAGTATCATCTTCCCCCAAGAGTGTTTCTTGTCTTGATTCCCTATTATCATGGCCTGAGGGAAAATGTGTAGGCATGTCTGAGCTCTGACCTGTACTAGACAGTGGTAATGCCTGCGATTGTGATGGCGCCAAGATCTGTGAGTTCTGGCTTGTAGTCATTCCGGCCATAGCCTCGATTTGTGGAATAGTCGTGAGGGACATTAGATACTGAAAGCCATGGCAGCCGCCATTTTCGACTTGAATACGAAGTGCTAGATTCGGATTTGCATCTTGGATCATGATCTCTTTTAGACGCTATGCCACAGGGCAAATTTGGTCAGCATGGAGGCGTAGTAGTAATCTCAGGTAAAAAAGAGGTAAGCTAAATGATACCTTTGAGGCGCGCGGTGTGATTTCGAGGGACATCTCGTTCCCCTCATCATCTTTGCGTGGGTTGAAGATAGCCTTCGCTTTGTACTGAAATCTCGAGAGCGTAAACTGCCGCCTATGAACCATCAATGCGCTCACAGGTGTGTGTCGTATCCTGAGTGCCGATTGAGCTCGCGTCATTAAGGAGACACACTGAAATTGTAGCATCCGATGATAAGCTCGACAGCGAGGCGCAACGTCAAACTCGCGTGCACCTATTTGTCGCACCGATATTTCCCACGATGCTATCCATGACCGTGGGCTGGCTTGTACTGAGAAGGTCCTGGAAAACATTGGGAGAAGCCGATAGCCTTTAGTCAAGCCGCCGAGGGTTCTGGCGCTTCTCGCCGACGAGCAGGTGGTGATAGGTGGTTCGTGATGCGAAGAAGCCGTGTGGGCTTTGGGCTGGTAATGTTGTTGGTAATTTTTGTTGCAAGATAATCGGTTGGCGATTTTCCTGGAATAGTACACATATTGATTCGTGAGCACTCGACACCGGGCGTGACCGCGCTCTTTACAATCTACGCATTCAAACCCTGTTTGACATAGATTCAAATCTTAATGTTCCTACAATCGACCACCAATAGGTACCAGGATAATTCGTAAATTGAGACTTACCAACACTCTCTAAATGGCCCTTGGCACAAGTACCGTTGACATAATCAACTTTTGTAACAATAGATAGTCTTATTTATTGTTCTTTCATTTATCCCGGTCAGGTACTCTATGGACCCATGCTGGTGGAGGACAACACAGAAATCCTGTACGCGGTGTATTCTACGAATTTGAGAGTGAAATATTCTGCCAGAGACAAGTTCGGTCAAATTTCGCAATGAGGTAGAGGTTGGCCCACGAGGCGATGATTTAAGGCTCTCCAATAAGTCAATTTCTCCCACGCAGCGACATCCAACCCAACCAAGACCTGATCAAGTTTGCAGGTACAGCTTAGTACATCCTAATTCCCATGACCACAACTCAAATCGACTATTCTCTGGCCTCAGCTGACCATCAAATAAACGCCCACGCCGATATTTAAACCTGACGGAGAAAACAAAGTGTAGCGCACAAATATGGAAGTTAATCCTTTGGGACGGACGTGAGAGAAATCTGGACATGTTTACAAAATGATGCAGAGGGTGGGTACAGTCTAGACGGACGTGAAAATTTCAAATTTGGCAAAGAGCTTTATTAACTGCGCCTTGCGCGTGCCAAGACCTCGGTTTCGAGAGTGCAGGTGACATCATAAACACCTCCGTGGCCGGGTGGTGCGGTGGTACATCATCTGGGTTTGTCTCCCAAGTAAATTCTAGATAGCCTGGACATGTATGTCACTCGGACAGAAGATAGCTGGTTCGAATCTGGAAAAACACAATCACATTTCTAGCGGTGCTGGTGTGTATGGATGATGAAGGCGTATCTGGATAATCAAAGGTTTTGATATGTTCCTTTCGTGGGTACTCATGGAAGAAGGCCGACTGTTTGTGTAGGCAAGCCAACCTCAAAGCAATATTTGCCAATGAATTCCAGAGTATGAGTGTCTCTAACATAAAAAGAGTCATCAAATTTGTAGACATAGCGCCGATCATGTGTTATAGCTAAATAGCTGCATCCAAATTAAATGATTTAAAAAAAGAAAGGTCAAGGCATTAATCATCAACAAAAGCGCTTGGAAGGACAATAAAATGAATCAATAATTGTATTTGTGTGTTTTTTTGTACTACTTGAGCCTATGACTATCTAGCACATTGGGCTCCTCTCTGACCCAGGCTACACCTTGTACAGTGCTCCTATGCTCTTTTGCTACTTGAAAGATCATTGATATATTCCCCTTGATGAGTAGCCATTCAGCTCAGTGTTTACCCGTGGAATTCAGCCATCTTTTCCACGGAACCTTCTACCCAAAAAAATTAAAATGGTAGCAATGGAAACTGCGTGCGCGGGTAAAAGTCTCAAAAAACCTGTAGCCCCAGCCAGGCGAGGCCTAGACACCGGGACTACATGAGGAGCGCATATTCATCTACCTCTCCCTTCTTTGTAACAGTCGAGGTCGACTTGATCCAATCCGCCATCTCCGTGTCGGGTGTTGGGTACGCTCCGGAAACTCATCGGACGGCTTCTTCTCCATGATCAAGGGTGGGTGATGAGAAGGGCTCTGACCCTACCATCTGATCTGATCGTGGTTAGATTCATGATAATGGTGATAGGGGAATGTGCTGAGAGATGAAGACGATACAGACGGTGAAAGCGATTGGGGATCCTCGTCGAAGTGAGGACTTTTTTACTCAATCTCGGCTCTGCAGACTCTACAGTGAGAGCTGGAGGTTCGTGTGTCCCACCACTGACAGGTGTTGAGAATAGTCCCCCAATCAATAATTATAATAATAAATGGGAGACAAAAAACATCATCATTTGTTCAAAAGCGGCACCACGTCACATGAACGTTATTTCATTATTTCGATAATTGTTTCCATCTTAATCAGTCCTTCTTATCTGATTCCCCAATTTTTTAACGTTGCGCTTCGCCATGGCGAATTGGGGAGACAGAAGGTGGATTTCGCGGTTGAAAAGATTTTCACGGCACCCAATTACCACCAACGGACAGCGGAATCGCTGCAATTACGGCTGCAGAATCTCTCACAATCTTTCCAGGCGTCAACATGGATACATTAAAGACAGTAGGGCTTTATCTAACAAAGGTCAGAGATAGACTGGTGATAGTAGGCACTAAAAAATCTACTGCACCGATGGTCGAAATGGGGGAGGCGTGTGTCTTCCTAATTTTCAGAATTCCGGGTATCGCGAGGTAATTAGATCCTCAACCAATTAAATGTCTGATACAGTGGATTCTGGGAGGGCAAGACTGAACACCTGTACGCGGTGCCTTCTACGAACCTAGGAGTGAAATGTTCTCCCAGAGCCAAGTTCAGACAAATTTCGCAATATCAAAGAAGTTGGCCCACGAGGCAATCATTAAAAATACTCCTCCAGGTCATTATTTCGCTCCCAACGAGTTTGACTCCTATCTTCGTCTCATAAAGTCCACAAGTACGACCAAGTACATCCTCATTCCAATGACCACACCACTCTTTGACCTTCTCTGGCCTCAGTTGACCGTCAAATACACGCCCACGCCAATATTTATACCCGACGGAGGAAGCAAAGCGTGGCGTACAAATTTGGGATTCAGTTCTTTGAGATAGACGTGAGAGGGATCAGGACAAATTTACAAGATGTTGCAGAAGAGGGATACATTCTCGACGGGCGTGGAATTCCGAATTTTGGCGAGAATTTTTACGAAATGGGCTTTTTGCGCGCCAAGCCTTCGCTTGCGAGAGTGCAGGTGACACTATAAAAACTAGAAAACGATGGAAGGTGTTGTGGTCCGCCTCCTGGTGGTGTTCTCTGGTATAGTTTGAGTAGCCTTGGCACCTACTCCACTTGGGAAGGAGACGCCTCAGACCATATTTCGCGCGGAGAAAAGTTGGTGGATGACGGAGGCATGTCTGGATAACTCAGGGTTTTTGAGACGTTCCCCTGGGTGGGTATTCACGGATCAGGGTTGACTTGGTGTGAACAAAAAGCCGCCATAACTTCGCAGTGGTACTTGCAAATGAAATCCGAGGCATGAGTGCTCTTCCTTTGCGTTGAATCATCTATTCTGTACTTTTCTTTGATATTGTGTCATAGCTAGATAGCTGCATACGTAATAAAATCTGATGCAAAAATAAAATATGGCTCACAAGTAAAATGAAAGCGTAAGAAATGCTTTGAATTAGTCTGCTCCATCCTAATACTTTGTGTACCCTCCATTTTCCTTTATCACCGCTATACATCTTTCGTGCATGTTAACCACACTTAACGGGAGCTTCTTCCGAGCAATACATCTGCCGTACCCTTTTTAATTGAGGGCATTTGAAAGCTAATGCTCATTGCATCACCAGTGGCTGAAGGGTCCCATCGCTAGTTCCAAATAGCACATCTGTCGATTTTCAGGAGATTCCTGCACGAAAGCCTCAAGCTCATCAACTTGTTCCACGCTTAATTTAGATAAGCATCTTTTGCGAGTAATGGGATTCTCAGTCTCTCGAGCACACGCAAGTTGCACTTGCCTTCTTGAGAAGCCAAGTTCGTCGGATATATGTTGTAATGTCATGCCAAGTCTTCTTAATGCTCTTATTTCAATACATTGATCGCGAGTTAGATGCTTGCGAACTTTAGTTTCTGAAGCTTACTTTCGGAGAAACATTGTTTGCTAGAACAGAGGATGAATTGAAAGTGATGTTAAGAATCAAGAGCTTTTTTTTGTTCATTAAAATGCTAGGTAAATGAAACCTATCACACACCTACTAGAGCCCAAGCACGAGTGGGGCCGGGCCGGATCATGTTAACTGCCATGAAGCACTGATAAACCTCATCCCACCTATATGACTAAAACACATCAGACTTCACCTGTGTTAAATCATACCAAGCCTGACCGTCCAGAAACCCGCTATAAACACGCCGTGGCGCAAATTCTCTCTTTGTAAACGTCCCATTTCCGTCATGAATTTCTTCATTAGTGCGTGTGAAGGCAGGTGATGTGACGAGTATGGAGGTAGGTCGCAGGTGTACGATTGACTGAGAAATGCTTGTCGCAAATATACGAGGAGTATGAGAGATGTGGAGGGTTGGATGGTGCAGTGGTACACCGTTCGGGCAGTTCTCCCAAGTTCGCTTGTTTAATCTATTTACATCCTGTCTAAGTCCAAGACTATTGTAGGATGTTTCTACCAAGTAGATGCTGGGTAGCTTGAACACCTACCCTATTCGAGACAGGAGAAAGCTGGTTTGAATCCAGTAATACCCACACACCACTCTCTCACGCGGTGATATCGTACTTGTGGGATGAAAGCATACCCGGATAGCCACAGGGTTTTTACGCTTTTCCCTGTGGTGGGTATACACTGAAGAGGTTACACGCTGTAAGGGTTAACCGCGAGTAGTATCTGCAAATGAAATCTGAGTGTTCTAAATGTCAAGTTGAGTCATCTTACTTTTTTTTTTTAAATCATTTTATGTGTATTCAGCTATCTAGCTATGACACATGAACGGTGCTATTTATACATGTTGGATGACTCTTTTGACGTTAGAAATACTCATACTCTGGATTTCTTTCGTAAATACCACTATGAGGTATGTTCGCTTACACAAACAGACGACCCTCCTCCGTAAGTACCCACTGAATAGAAGTTCAAAACCTTTGATTATCCAAGCGTGCTTTAGTCGTTCTTGTAAACAAGCGCCGCGAGAAAAGTGGTTGTGTTTTGCCGGATTTGAACCAGCGATCTACTGTCTCGAGTGGAATATGTGTCCAAGCTATCCAGACTCTACTTGGCAGACCGGCCAAGACGATGTACCACCGCACCATCCAACCATGGCGGTGTTTAGAGTGTCGCCTGCACACTCGCAACCGAAATCTTGGCACGCACAAAGCTTAATTTGTAAAAACTCCTTGCCAAAATTCAAAATTCTACGCCCGTCGAGACTGTATCTATCCTTCGAATCATCTTTTTAACTTGTCCTGAATCCTCTCACGCCAATCCCAAAGAACAGTCTCCCAGATTTGTGCGCCAGGCTTTGTTTCCTCCGTCTGGTGTAAATATCGGCGTGGGCGTGTATTTGGTGACCAGCTGAGGCCAGAGAGAGTCTACGAGAGGTGTGATCATTGGAATAAGGATGTACTAGGTCGTACTTGTAGACTTGATGAGGCTTAGGTATGAATCGACTCTTTGGGAGTGAAGATTTGACGTGGTGGAGTTGTTTGAATCATTGCCTCGTGGGCCAACTTGTTCGGTATTGCGAAATTTCACTGAACTTAGCTCTGGGAGAATGAGTCATCCTACTCAAAGTACTTATCTTCCGATAAAAATCTACATGGGCCTCAAGGCGCCAAATCAGAATATTGAATTATATATACGAGAGATGTCGGATGTTTGAATACGAACCTCAGGCAGAACTAGATATATCCGTGAATCGTATATGGGGGTTGATGAGCATTAGTTAGACTATCTTTCGGTTGAGAAATCCCTGTCGACTGATTTTCCGACCAAAATATCGAAAACTCCTTTATGCCGAAAATGCATTAAGAAAATTCATCCTATCACTATTCATGACTGAATCTCGGCCCTGGGAGAATTTTTTACTCCAAGGCTCGTAGAGGACACCACTTACAGGTGTTCATTATTCGTCCTCAGAATTTAGCTGAGTGTGTGATGCACGGAATACACGAATGGTGCGCTTGACCATCTGTATCTCCGTTCTTTGTAATATCAAAGGCCAGCTTGGTCCAATATAATATTGCCGTATCGGGTGCTGGCTCCTTCTCCGTGACTAAGGATGACTGATGGGTAGGGCTTCGACCCTGTAATCTCATCTGACCATGATTAGCTTCATGATAATGGTGCCAGGTGGTTGTTCAGATAATCTGCTGAACTTGGCACTGAGATAACATTTCACTTTCAGGTTTGTAGAGGACGCTGTGGATAGAAGCCAAATCTTTGCCCTCTAATATCGAGACAAAAAAGAGCCAGATGGGCTACTCTTGTTGATTAGTCTAGTTAATTATCCACTACTTAGGATAGTAAAAAGAACTTTAGTTAAGCTGATTTACTAGATGAACTATCAATCAAGACATTTTCAACATCTCAATACAACTTCCTTTATGTCACAAGGGGTAGATAATGGAAGGATTTGAAAGGAGGAAATGAAGGTTCAGAGTGCTTCTCTCAGCTGAACACTGGTAATATGCGCCCAACTGTGCGGCATCTCAGAAAGTTTTAGAGTAGCTTTACCTTCGGAACTTACCCATGCGAGTAGTAATGTAGAAGTCCTGCATCCAATAGTTTTTTCAAGTTTTCCTGGCTGTCGTGCTCTAGCAAATAACAATTATCATTTGCAATGATGGGCGTTTAAATTGATGATCAATAGTCTTGTTTAAGCGCGTAAGCGAAAAGGTTAGTGAGGAAAAGTACTGCTGGAAGAGGGCTTTCAAAGAGGAATAGGAGAAGACATTCCCTTCAAGATGTGTATGTCAATACTCTGAGGTAATGAGAGATCTACATGCCGTACAAACTTGTTACATATGAAGAGCATAGATGGCAATCAAAATCGGCGAAAGAAGTCATGTATGTGGGGGGCCGGGGGGGCTTAGTCGCGCTAATTAATCATGGGTGACCACACATAGGAAAGGTCAAAAATAATTAACTCTTCTAACAATCTTTTCTGTTTGGACGGCTCACAACGCCGACAATCAACATGACAATATTCCAAACTGGAAACTCACAGCCGCGAGCAATCCAGGATGATTCGGACGTTGAAGAGGAAGCCCTTGCGGCCGACTACAGAGAACAAATTCAGTATGAGGGGCTGGAAGTACTAGACCACATGAATTCGGCAAATATGACACAGCAAGCAGACGATATTCAGTCCAGACTTGTAGCAGCCTCACAACCTCTAGATTTTTCTGCTCCAATCGAAGTGAAATTTGCCAGCTACGATAATTATTGTAGCTTGTTCCATTACATCCTGAACTCGGATGGACCTGTTGATCTAGAGCCGCCTTCTGTGAGCTCAATTCTTCTATATTGCAATGAATCATAATTTCAATACTGATTTTGGCCAGTATTATTGGGCATGGGACGTCATTGATGAGTTCATTTATCAATTTAATTCTTTCTGCTCTTATCGAAACCGGGTGGCCCGCCAGGGTAGCAATGAAGAAGAAATTGAAATCCTTCGCGAAGCACCAAATACATGGGGATGCTACAGTGTACTCAACGTATTATACTCTTTGATCCAGAGATCACAAATTAACGAACAGCTCGCGGCAATGAAGCGCAACGAGGACCCCTTACTAGTCGCAGGCGAATATGGTTCCAAACCTTTATACCGAATGCTGGGCTATTTCTCAATCATCGGTTTACTAAGAGTTCATTGTTTACTTGGCGATTTCAGTCTCGCCTTGAAAACTCTAGATGACATTGAGCTAAATAAAAAAGCCATGTTTGCCCGCGTCATGGCCGCTCATTTCACTACCTACTACTATGTAGGATTCTCTTACATGATGATGCGTCGATATGCCGATGCTATTCGTATGTTCAGCCATATTCTTATCTATGTCTCGCGTACAAAAAACTTTCAAAAAAACGCACAATACGACTCTATTTCAAAAAAGAACGACCAAATGTATGCTCTTATTGCCATATGTGTCGCATTTCATCCTACAAAGCTGGACGAGACAATCAGCACTGCACTTCGTGAAAAGTTTGGCGACCAATCTTTGAAGTTACAACGCGGTGGCCCAGAATCACTTCCGGTATTTGAGGAGCTGTTTCGATCTGCTTGTCCAAAATTTATATCTCCTACGCCTCCCGACTTCGATAACCCTGATATAAACGTCGACCCTCTCCAGCATCACTTAGCTATATTTATGGACGAGGTAAAGATAAACATGTGGAGTCCTACAGTTAAATCATATTTAAGACTGTACACTACAATGGATTTGAAGAAACTGGCCGGATTCCTTGAGGTCGAGCCTGAAAAGCTTAGGAGCTGGCTGTTGGTGAACAAGCAGAGAAGCAGACAAATAAGGTGGTCGGAAAATGGTTTGTTGCAAGGTGACGTCGTTTCATGCAGCGATCTCGACTATGCCATGCAAGGTGTAAGCAAATCACAAAGCTCCTTATTTTAGATGAAGTAACTAAAAATCTCTGCAGGACTTAATACACATCTCGGAAGCTAAAGTTGGACGAAAGTTTGTGGATTGGTATCTTCGCAATCTCGCCCGGACTTATTAGCAATCATAAATTTACACTGATGTTACGATTGATGCTGGAATAAGATAAGATCCAATTGGTATTGGCCTTCAAAGATGAAGGTATCGTACAGTTATATTTGAAAAAAAATAACGTATAGCTAATTTTTAAAGTGGAATTCAAGTTTAAAACTTTTGCAATTCAGCCTAATCATAGAGTTTCGGCTGAAAAAATTATATTGCAGGTGCCTATTACGGGTGAGTTTACAACAGAGGTAGGTTTGATACGAAAGTGTAGTCACGTCTAAATCTTTTCCATCAGCATTAGCTTAATCGATAAATAACCCAAAATTAAGTTTTGTTCGAGGGCATCGACAAATGCGCCATCGATGGTTTAAGGTTTAGAGGACATAAGGGCAACCGACTACACATTAAGACCACGTTATTTTATTCCAAAATCTCTTTAATATTGATATTTGACAGGGCGTCCTCCATTTCTTCAATCTTCATTAATATTCAGATCTCGCATTTCCATCTCTCTTCTCTCTTTGTGTCTAGTGATTTTCCAATAATCTTCACAGCCTAATGTCATCGTATGAATTCTCAATGCTTTAAGACCTAGGTTCCAAATCATGTATAAGATTCGGTTTTAGTGCCTGGTTATTGTTATGATCCTAGTCTGCGCAAGGAAGCAAGGGCTTCATAGGCAAGACTCACTGATGAAACAACATGACTTTAGTTATGCAAGCTCATATTAATTTATGACTCAAATGTGAGTTTTGCTAATTATCAGGAGCTCAAGGATCAAACAATGTCGATACGCATTACATGAGTACACCAGACAATTAATTGGCATGGCTGTAGAGCGAATCGTACATGTATGTAACCAGTTCCATATACTTCTTATGTAGATAATGCGTTCATCTTTAGATATCAATTTTATCCTCAGATAGACTAAATACATTCGCTCACCACCAGAATAGTCATTTCACATTCTTCTTTATATACATACTGTCCTACTACAATACTTATACATCTAACCTAGTACTTATAACAGTTATGGATGCAAAATTAGTCTCAAAGTATCGTTTTCAAGTGTCCATATGTATCATTGTCTAACAGCGTAAATCCTCAGTCCATTTCTAGATGGAATTTTAGAAGACGAGACCGAACTTAACTCTCGTTCAAATAAAGACGCTACCTGGCATGCATCACACAGTATTCTCAAAGAGAGCGAGAGGACAGCGATGCCCTCGGATCCAACAAACAACAATTGCAAGGCATAATAAACAGGATGTGTTTGATCTTAAATTATACATCGTCGTAGAATCTGCGTTGTACTTTGCCTTTGTGTCAGGAACTGAGGATAGAGGTTACTGGGATACAATGGTTGCCATGGGTTACGAATTGAGTAATCGAGTAGTAGAAGGTGGACTCTATGAGACCCAAGTTGCTCTGGTTACTATGATGTATATATGGATTGGACAGAGCCGCAGTAGAAGGCCATGTCTTATCTTCCGTCTTCCACTGGCCTTGTCTCCGATCCTAGATTCCCTCGTCCTTAGTTCTAGTTACAATCACAAATTTATACCTTTGGCTCTTGCCAACCTCCCCAGATATTGCCCAAGTTACTAAGTAACACTCCCAAAGCTACCTTTGGCGCCCTCGAGTTTGACACTTCGGTTCGTTTAAGTATTCCTGCTAGCGTCCAACCCTTTACCACAATTTCATTTTACATAGCTGGCGTTCTCGGATTCGAGTTTAGCCCTTTCTCCTGCAGCTAGGTGCATGAACGCAAGCCTGAGCTTGCTATGACCGGCTTCGAGGGGTCTGTTAAGCTACGTCTTGTTGTTGCGCACACTGACTAAAGTCCAAGACTGGTCTACACTTCTAGAAGCTATATGCCCAACCAAATGGAATTTCCATGTCGCACACTCACTATCACTCATGCAGGCTCGGAAGGACGAAGGCTCAATACCTGTCTGTGGTGCCTTCTATGATCCTGGGAGTGAAATCTTCTTCCAGAGCCGAGATTCAGTCACGAAAAAGTGTGGGATGGATTTTCGGCTTGTAGGAGTTTTACTTGGTATTCTGGTCGAAATATCAGTCGGCAGAGATCTCACAACCTCAAGAAAGTCGAAACAAAACTCATCACCACCAATATGGTTCACGAATGGGCCTAGGTCTATCTAGGGGGTCGTATTCAACCAAATTACATCTCTAAAAATCCTTAAATATCTCCGACGAAACATTTCTCAGTCGATCCCACACCTGCGACCCATCTTTATTCTCGTCGCATCACCTACAAACGCACGCCCTAGTGAGGTAAGTCATGTTGGAAACGGGACGTGTAAAAATGAGGAAGAAATGGGATTATGTACTGAAGGGATCACACAGATCCCCGATGACGACAAAAACTCAACGGTACGATAAGAAGGCGCAAGGATAGAGCAACGATGAGATCTGGGTTGGCATTTATATTTTGGAGTCGACGAGGATGACATGGGCTCGGGCGCGTGGTTACCGAGGCTAAGGAGGAATTTGCGCTTCGGCGTATATACAGCGGGTTTCTGGACGGTCAGGCTTAGCATGGTTCAGCACATAGGTAAAGTGTGAAGTGGGACGGGGTTTATCTGTACTTCGCGGTAGTTAACCTGATCCGGCCCGGCCCCACTCGTTCTTAAGTTCCAGTAAGAGTGCGACGGTAGTCACTTTACCTAGCACGTTAATGAACAAACAACAACAGTTCATCCAGGCTCTAGCCGCTCGTCCTGGTAATAGATTTCCGCACGTCAACTCAGCGTGCTGTCATTGCTGATACTCGCGACGTATCGCATGCCCGAGCAAATCTCAAGCTCGTTCCCCATGCGCAGATTATGTGCACCCGCACGACTGAGAGCAGTCGCCCGTCTCGTGGATGCTGCATTGCGTTCGTACGCAAGGCCGTGAGGCAGGCGCAAAACGTTCAAAATTTTCTGGTCTTCAAACTGGAATCGCGGAGCCCGGGCTCTTGATACCAACCACAACATGCGATGTGAAACACTTGATACCCCAGATCATCCGACGCAAGCATCCCGGTTGACCAGCCCTAGTGCAGAACTTATATATCACGTGCCTACATCGCGTCCAGCCAATGCATAAGTCAGGTCAATCCCTCCGCGGTCTTGGCAATAATGCAGCTAGCTGACTAAGATCGTAGCTGCCAATCGCACCACATATCGCGATATGCCGCTTGGTCTTGCACGCACTTTACGGCTCGACAGTTCAACGTACGCCAGGCCGCAGACGCGCAATAAAGCCAGCAAGCTACATAGCTAAACCTCATAAATTATCCATGTATGTCCCGCAGCTTGGTGCAGCTTCGACGTCTTCCGTGTCGTCCTTGGTCGAACAGGCGGTTTCCCGGAAGCCAATGCTGCCATTGACCTCTATATCGAACAATGAGTTTGACCGGGGAAATGGTCGATAGCCACTTCAACCGTCGCGTTTCTTTTGACACCATTACTGGCGGTGAGCCAACAGACAAAAACTCACTCGCCTTTACACTAAATATTCGCCACAAAGGGTATCAGTACAAAAGACGGTCTCGCACGTTTATGGTGGGTGTGGGGGAGAATGAATATTCTGAAATTGCTTTACAATGGATGTTAGAGGAACTAGTGGATGATGGTGATGAGATAATATGCGTCAGAGTTATCGATAAAGATGCAAAGGTGCTGAACGACCGAAATATGGAAAAGCGGCAGTATCAAATAGAAGCTAAGGAGCTGCTCGAACGTATAGAAGTCAGAAATGATAACAATCGCGCTGTCAGCATCGTTTTAGAGTTTGTTGCTGGAAAGTTACATGCAACATTCCAAAGGATGGTAAGAAATTTATCACGAAGATAGTGCTCGTTAAGACAATAAAGAACTTATGGCTGATTTAAAATTCCTCTAGATTCAAATGTACGAGCCGGTCATGTTAATTGTAGGAACCAAAGGCAGGAGCTTAGGTGGCCTTCACGGTCTTATGTCCAATCGAAATTCGTTTTCTAAGTGGTGCCTACAATATTCGCCAATCCCAGTTGTCGTCGTTCGACCCACTAGTAAGAGGTTGAAGAAAAAGAAGCAGCGAGATGCTGATCCGACACGGCAGGATTATGCTCGCATCTTACGTGAGAGTGGAATTGAAGAGCACGAAACAGAGACCGCTTCTCACTGCAGCAATTGGGAAATCTCTAATGCGCCAGAGGTCGAAGCTCATGCCGTAGCAGCAGCCCTAGGTCTTCCTGCAAAGTTCGAACCAAAACTGAAGCCCATATATTCGGAGGTTATCACGCCGCCGAAGCTTGCCTTGTCCGAAAAGGCTCATGCGACCGCTTCCACTCCTTCGCAAGTTGGCCAAAATAGTCAAACACTCGACACTGAAGATCCCCTGACTATTACAAGATCAGTATCCCCTTCGCCTGCTCCAAGTCCCACGCAAGTGGATTGCAGCGAGTCCAAAATTGAGGACAGCTTAGACAATTCTGGCAACGAAAACGAAGAGCTAGTAGAGACAACTTCAGAAATTTTATTGGTGAACGATAGTGGTGAGAAGTCTCATCATGTCCAGAGTCATACATTGTATGAAGAAGACTCTGAAGCCTCTGCATCCACTAAAAACAGAATTGGGTCTGTCGGCAGCGTGCAAAGCATCGATCCGAACACTGAAGACGTTCCGGCAACGAATGAAGAAAAATCGGTACCAAGCACTATTCAATAGACGAAAATCTTATTTAGTAGCAAATTAGCATAATTTTGTGTACAGAGCGAGAATAGCGGGTGTAGTAGGCGTACAGTTTTTACCCAACTCTCGATTGTATAGAGAGAAACGAAGTAAATTATGTTGTACATTTGTATACTCAGGTCATAGTAGCACACGACCTGAAACCCACGTATTAATAACACGTAACACCGCATATTTTGAAATAATATAGTGCGACCATTAGCAAATTTTTATACTATATAAAATGCTCAGAGCGCCCAGCTATCCAAGCTTTCTGTAGGTAACACGAATGGCATGTCAATTTTTTTTATTGCAAAATCACTACACAGTATGCTAATCTCGCGTTAGGTTTTCAATAACAAGTTGTTACCAGTTGATCATGAGAGAAGATTTGGGTAGGGGATTAGACCGTAGGATCGAGGGAAAGATACTTACCAGCTCTCAGCTACAAGACCATCTAACTCGGCAATTATCTTATCTCTTACCTCACCTTTTGGAAGGTCTTTGGTGGTCAGATCCTGCAACTCACGAATTCTTCTTGCCTTAGTTACTGTAGCGCTCTCCATCACCTTTTTTCCTAAGCAGTTAGAGTGAAAAGCGTGTTGACATGGGAAAACAAAAAACTGTCGACTTAGTAGTGGCATGCTGCAGGTATGGCACTTGTCACCTGGCTCAACAATTGCGTAACGACGGTCGAGGGCAGCTATGTCAATCCTAATATTAGTTGCTGTTTTTGATGATTCATCCATTTCCTTTTTGAGGGAATCAATGTTGCGACTATAGTCCTCAAGGGCTGTACAAATCTCATCCTTAAAATCATCAATGACAATGAAATCCGGGAAAAATGGAATTAAATCTTCAATCTTCAATAAATCGCAACGCTTGAGAAATTCCATGGCGGCCTTAATACCATTTGATTGTGAGATGTATTTCTCGGCCACAGCGAGCCACAATTTTTTACGGAGGGTCGGATCAGATATGGGTCTATCAGCAATTATAGAAGCTAGATCTATAGCTGAGTGAGATAAGGCAAGGTTAACTGCCTGGAAATATTGCCCCATGCTAGAGTAGATATGTACACATGATTGGATACGCGAGTGTCGAATACAGAGGCGAAGGGCAAAGTCAGAATCGTAAAAAGGCTGTTCACCTTGAGAGTTAAGGTAAGATAGTAATGCAGTTTCATCCTTACATGAGCTGGAGGCGTATATAGATATTAAGGTGTTGTGCACAGCGGCATCGGTCGAGCTGAATTTATTTATGCAATGAAGCAGATAGCGAACCGCCTGGTTTAGATGTAAAGGGTCTTTAGTGGCACGATTGTAGTTTAGTAGAGCGGGAATAAGGTTTCTGGGTTGAAGGTCAGAGTGTCGCATAAGTATATCAACCAGCTCCACACCAACATGGATAATAAGAGCAGAACTGTAGTGATAGAATATGTCTGGATTTGACTGCCTCTTCAGAAGGTCCAGGGCTTCTCTCCAACGTTCTCTCTGCATCCAGTAGGAAAGAACATAGTTATAATCATTCACTGTGGTTGCGAAGAATATCAGCTCGTCCTCTCTCCCATGACTACAAATGATATCGTAGGTAGTCTTCTTGTCGATATCAGATTTGTATTTTTTAACAAATTCCTGAAACTCAGTCCGAGTGGCATCCAATTGGTTCTTCGTCTGTTCGAGCGGAGATTCTAAGCTCCCGGATTGAGTTACAATAGAATCATCCAAAGAGTTCAGTTTTGACATGAATATTTCAACTAGCCAACTTGCAATCATCATACGCTGCATAACTGATAATTTTTTGTACATATTAATTTTGGTAAGAAGATACTGTCGAAGTGCATCATACTGATTGTTATCAATAAATCCCAAGGCGACTTGTTCAAAAGACTTGCTACTTTTTCCATAGACAACTGCTGCTTCCGTATACAAGCCTTTTGAGATTAGGTAGTCACCTGATGCAGTAGAAATAATGTCTTTCTGAACAACGGTGCGAGCATATTTGAATGCTGATTCAAAGTCATGTCTTTGAAGCATGATCTTCCAAATATCTCTTTTCTCGTCAGAGACCACTATTTCATAAATTTCTTCAGTTGTGAGTAGCCAAAACGTGTTTTTCTGATGGTCTGAATATAATCCTATTGATTTCTGGCCGGGATCTAGTACAACCTGGTTGAAAATTACTCTATCATCCAGCTGATTGGTACAGATTACTCGACCTTCAATTAAGTGTATTATATGCCACTGAGTCAACGCGATGGAATTAATAGTGTCATGCGGTGTTTTACATTGACTGATTGATGTAGGCTCAGAGGCTGGCAATTGAGATAATGGTAGCATTTTGGCATGTGAGAATGTCCTACTGCCCAAGTCTGAAATGCATGATGTGAATAATGGCCCATAGAAAGTACCTTGTGACGAAAGCCAGGCAAACGACCGCTCAGGGCTGGGATTTTCGGTAGGGTTACGACCCAAGAAATTGGGAGAAATCACAAGCTCAGAGGTCGCTGAAGAGTAAACCTTTGAAATTTCGTGCACTATAGGTTGTTCTATTTCGAAGAGTCGTGTGTATACTGAAGCTCCGCCCTCAGTTCCCACACGGCCTATTTTCCCCGCCAAGTGTAACAGTTTATTCTCGGTGGTGATTAAAATTCTCCTAAAATCGGGACCTTGTGCCTCATCTATTACGTCCACCCACAATCCAGTGATCGAGCTATCCGAGATCTTAAGTAAACATTTTAAAAATTTCTCTTCCTTTCGGTAGAATTCAGTTGCTGTCTCAATGTACGCTTCGTAAATATTCCCGTCTGATGCGCCGATTAATATCTCTCGCGTAGAAATTGTAGGTAGAGCAGGGTTCCACGCAATAGCTTCAATTGAAACCCCACGCAATCGAGATAGCGGTCGAGGTTGCCTTGATTTAGTGTGGAGATAGTAGTTTTCCCCAAGTGTTGTGCATATTATCAAATGGGAGGCGGTAGGATCTAGGAACATACGCCTAATCACACCAACTTCTGTGACCTTTTTAGGTAGATCAATATCTAAACTTCATGTTAGAGAGCATTTTAAATTTATCAAAGTTCTAACCTTCAATGTCAACTGGGTCTTCCAAGTCGATCCTCAAGATCCGACCATTACTCAAAGCTAAAACGAGGACATTATTTGCAACCTGTGCTGCAACAAATTCAGATGCTATTGAAAACTGTAGTTGCACGCGCTCGATATTAAACATAGGAATAGTAGTAGTATCTGGATCCAGAGCTTGAGCGGCAGAATGGCCAGTTAAAGAGTTGTTAGCCATCCGTTAGAAGATGGGAAGTCTCCTCATGGTATTAGATGTAATGTGTCGCTTTAGATTATTCCTTGTTATTAAAGGTACCTTGTGAATAACATATCGTAGTAGCATCACAAGGCTGACAAAGTATTGGTAGCAAATACAATCACGTGATATGACTTACAGGACCAGCCCAGCACGATCAGCCAACAAATTCTAGCCTCATCGACCCCCGCAACAGTCATGCAGCGCGTACTTTGCTGTCTATTTCTCTTCATGAAATTTTGGAGACTATCACTATCTAGTAGACCGGAGGACAAGACTAAACACCTGTACACGGTATCCTCTACTAACCTGAGAGTGAAATATTTTCCCAGTGCCAAGTTCAGTCAAATGTCGTAATATCAAAGAACTTGGCCCACGAGACAATGATTCAAATTACTCCTCCGCCTCGTTTTTTCGCTCCCAACGAGTTTGACTTCTACCTAAATCTCATCAAGTCGACAAGTACGACAAGTACGACCAAGTACATCCTCATCTCAATGACCACACCTCTCTTCCACTTTCTCTGGCCTCAGCTGGACGCCAAAAACACGCCCACGTCGGTATTTATACCCGACAGAGGAGACAAAGCGTGGCGCACAAATCTGGAAGACAGTTCTTTGGGATAGATGTGAGAGGTACCAGGACAAGTTTACAAGACGACACGGAGGATGGATACAATTTCGACGGGCGTGTGATTTAGAATTTTCGCAATAGTTATACGAATTGAGCTTTGTGTGCGCGCCAAGGCTTCGCTCGTGAGAGAGGAGCTAGCACTATAAATACAAGTCAACGATGGAAGGTGCCGTGGTCCCTCTCATGGTGGTGTTTTCTGATATAGTTTGAGTAGCCTGGGCACCTACTTCACTTGGGAAGGGTACGCCCTGTACCACATTTCACGTGGAGAAAATTAAATGGATGATGGAGAGAGTTCTGGATAACTCAGGGTTTTTGAGATGTTCCCCTGGGTAGGTATTCACGGATGAGGGTTGACTTGATGTGAAGAAAAAGTCACCATAACTTCGCAGTGGTACCTGCAAATGAAACCCGAGGCATCAGTGCTCTTCTTGTATATTGAGTCATCTATTATATACTTTTCTTTTATATTGTGTCATAGCTAGATAGCTGCATACGCAATTAAAATCTGACGCAAAATTTTTATCTAGCAGATTTGACACCCCCGCTGACCCATACCACACCTTCTATTGCGCTCCTATCCTCTATTGTTCCGAAACAGGATGTCTGATGTAAAGCTCATGATGCAGAGCTATTTGGCTCAGTTCTATCCCCTAATTACACCCTTCTGTCCATCGAAATATTCTGACGAAAAAATCCTCAAAAAACAGCTGCCCCAGCTAGGCGAAGCCTGGAAAATATAGCCACACAAGGTATACATATCCATCTATATCTCTCTTCTCTGTAACAGTCGAGGCCAACTTGACCCAATCTACCATCGCCGTATCGGGTGCTAGGTACGCTCCGGAAACCCTTCGGATGGCTTCTCCTCAATGGTTGGTAATGAGAAGGGCTTCGACCCTACCATCTGATCTGATCGTGGTTAGCTTCATGATAATAGTGATAGGGGATGTGTTGAGGGATTAAGACGATACAGACAGCGAGAGCGATTGAGAATCCTCATCGAAATCTGGATGAAGGTATCCAACCTTGGCTCTGTTGACTCGACTGTAAGGTCTGGAGGGTCATAGCGGACATTGTAAACAGATAGTGAGTTTTCGTCCCCCTAGCGCGTGGCTGGGCCTTGGGGAAAATAACTTTAAGAGGACATCATAGAGTTTCAAGTGAAAACTTATCACACACAGCCCGGAAATTTGAAGGAGGGACATTTCACTCAATCGATTCTGATACCAAAAACTTTAATATTTACTCTCTTCGGAGTTTAGAACTTTCAAAGGGCGCTTAAGTGATCTTTCTCGTCTTTGTTTAATTGTTATTTCTTAATTCATTTAAATTCAATCTTCTTTTGCACTGAAGATTATGTCTATGCCCTGACTAGCCCTAGCACTGAGCGACAAGTAGAGGAATGCAACTGGAGCCTTTTTCGGTTGTGCCAAATGTTAAATGTCGACCGAGCACCTATCGATAGGACCTTCCGATGGATATTGGTATCTAAGCTTTTTACTCTTCACAAGGTAATGAATTAGGTAGTTATCCTGATTTTCGTATTCTCAAGCACCTCGTGTCAACTCATACGATAAATTGACTCTGCCTATCAGATTCATGCCGGTCAAAAAGATGATAATTTGTACTAAAACAGGCTGGTGTACCGAGCGGTTGTTTTCCAGGCGCGAAGGATTGAGGGATGGGCCGCATCATCCCTGCGAGTGCGGACGGTATTTATATCCTCTAATTTTGAAACACTATGATGACTTTGAACCTGCTACGTGCTTAACTTTTTGTTGCCAAGAAGCATTGAGAGCAGAGCTGTCAAGTTAAATTTGATTGATTGTTCATTAACGTGCTAGGTAAAATGAAACCTGCCGCACTCCTACTGGAGTTTGAGCACGAGTGGGGCCGGGCTAGATCAGGTTAACTACCGTGAAGTACAGATATGCCCCGTCACGTCTAAATGAACGGAACCATGCCGAAGCGCATCTATGTGTTAAATCATGACGAGTCCAGCAGCCTAGAATCAAAATTAAAGAAAATTTCCACGCGAAATCCCACACTACAAAAGAAAAACTTCAACAATCTCCCTCCATCGTTCCGCCTCAGCCACCACGCGCCTGAGCCTCTATTTCAATCCCTCTTTCCATGCCAAACCACCTAGGCTTTTGATCTATCACCTCCGAGTCACAGATATCCCTGCCATCCCCCGACTAGCCACCGCGTATATTCCGCTCCCCTGGACGTAGTTCCTGAACAGCTGCCATCCTCGAGGTCCGAGCAGGACCACCAGCGAAGGTGCTCTTCGTCTTCCGCTTTTCAGTCGTCATGTCACCAGTGCTTTTCTACACTGGATAAGGTGACCGTTTGAGTTTTCTCTACTAAACTCACAGTGAAGTGTAGCTATTATATAATTGAGACGACGGTGGTATGCCGCGAAGTCACCGTATCCTGTTCGGGCAGCGATCAAGCAAGCGTAAACCGCTCTTTGGAGCACTAGTTCTGGCGTTTTCTTGCGCCATATCTCTAGTTCGAGGTTGGCGTAGCGTTTGAGGCGATTTGAGTGCCACCAGTCTGTCACCATTTGCCTAGCCAGTTGGCGAGCATGACGTCCTGACGAAGCAAGGATCATTCTATCATTCGTCATCCTGGCGTTATCTAGCGAGTCGAGCTCTCTTCGAGCAAGCCTATCTGCTATCTCCTTTTTTGAAAACTCTGAGTGTCCAGGGATCCATCCTGCTTTTACAGATGCAGCTCCTCTCGTAGCTATCTTCCAGAATTTTTGAGCCCGCCAAGATGATGAGGTATTTAATTCTATCAGTAGTTCCTGAACTGCCGCGGAATTTTCGAGCAGGACATAGATGGCGCTTCGTCCCAGATCTCGTTTCCTGATAATAATTGCCTCAAGATCAGCCACAGTCCCATGAACCTCCGCTTCGTAGACTTCCGTATTCAGTATTTTTCTTGAGCCACTTTGCTTAATAACTGTTCCAGTTCCACTGACTAAGGTCACAAAGGCCCATGAAACACAGTCGGTTGACGCTCCGGAACCATCGCTGTAAGTGCAAAGATAGTCTGATAGCAGGGTCGTAAGCCACTGTATTGTAAAACAAGCTACTTCTTCTTTACTTGTGCAACAAGGTTTTGATTTGGATGGTTCCAGTGGTCGAAGGGGTGGGAGTAGTTCCGCATCTGGTAAGAGTCGAAACATTCTCTGGACCCTCGAATCATGAACTCGGTCGAGGCCAAGTCTGCTTTTGTTGCATGTACGTAGGCCGTGGCGGTGACGGGTGCTAATCAGTGAATTCCATAGCTCGAAGTCGAAGCAGATGATAGTAATCTAGTCTACGAATTCGGGCTGCAGTCTTGAGCCTACGTTCCTCGAGAAAAATATGTACTGGTGGGATGCCGGTCTCCCTTCTCAAGGCTGTGATCGGCGTGGTGCGCCAGGTTGGGATGGCAGTGTGAATTCCTGACCATGAAGCTTGGTCGATGGCCTTGCACTATTTCCCATGTTAGTTTCGCGTAACACCCCGATATGTTTCCCTGGTTGGCCCTGGGCACCAGACCTCTGCAGCATATAACGCATATGGAAGAACTACTATGCGGATGACTGTGGTTAGTAGATCCGGCCGTGGTCCTCGGTTGCACCGAGTAAGACGTCGAAAGTGTTGTACTAGGCGCATTGCTTTATTAGTCCACTTGGCAACATGACTTGCGAATGTAAGACCACGACCGAGGTGCACTCCAAGCCATCGGATCTCATCTGAGCCTTGGATTTCGCGAGTGCCGATTCTGATTGTAGGTAGCTCGCATCTCCTGGTTCTAGGTCCAATGAAGTAAACCACTTCGGCCTTGTCTGGATCAAACGTCATGGCCTTCTCTGACACCCATCCGAGGACTGAATCGACCTCCCGTTGGATGGATAATACTACTTTGTTAGGAGTTGATCCTATACCAAGTATGGCAACATCATCCGCGTAGCCAAATCTGTAGACGCTTCCTCCCACGACTTCTGACATGTAGAGGAGGAAAAAAATGGGCGACAGCGGAGATCCTTGAGGGAGTCCACACTATAAGAGTATTGAATCTGTTATGTCATTGTCATAACGAACGCGTGCAGATCGCCCCACTAAGAGGGATTCAATCCAGGCGAAAGATGATTCCAGCCATCCCATTTTCCTCATCCTTTATAGTAGTCATCCGTGGAGTACGGCGTCAAAAGCTCCTTGGACATCTAGAGTGACGAGGACTGCTTTCTTCTTGCACTGCATGGCGTGTTCAACATCATAGATGACGCACCAACAAGAACATTTGCAGACCTGCCAGGGAGTTCATTGAAATGTATGACGACCAGAAGG